TACAAAAATAAAAGCTAAGTACTTCATGGTCACTCTGAAATGACCCCAGGTGAAATGGCTTCTAATAGAAAGCAGGCGGACTTGGTAACTAAGTTTCTGGCAAATGTTGTCATTGGGCTGTTAGTTTCATATCAGAGAATTGATACTTGAGCAGTTTTGTACTTAAAGATGTAACTTTCTTTACCTATGTAGCGCGCGTCACCGTCATGTAACAAATGTTGTTTGGTATAGTTCATCGGGAAGAGTCCCTATAAAGGATTTAAACAATAGCACTTAACGTTCGTCTTAGGGACCAAACAACCGAGTTCCGTGGTGGTTAATGATTTCCCAACACCAAGATAACAATAACACCCACATGCACTTCGTCGTTCAGCTTCGACGAAGAGGGCTAACGTTCGCCGTCATCGTGACAATACAATTGAGTATCTCTAGACTATCTCATCAAAATAAAATTCATTGGTAGTGCATTTTCTGCCCGGTCATTACATTTGTCCTCCAACACTCCCTATAGAAGAACCAAATCTCCATCAAAACAAATCCTTGCACTCGCCGATACCGTTTGATTTCTGCTGTTCTTAATTGATGATTTTGTCGTTCACATTGTATTGCATTTACACTTAAAGGGCTGTCGAAGTAGCGTCGCATTCACTCCTCCTGATGGGTGCATCAACCTGAGAGAACCAGACGGTTCGGTGACTCAGGTTAAACAAACGCGGTTGTAATGATTTGGTATGCGTATCCATGAACTGCTACGGCTTGGCCACAATTCGATCAACTGAAAATGTCGGAGGATGTAGAAATGCACATAGTGGGGGCTGTCATAAATGAACGCAGCCATACGGCAAAATAAGTAGCACAAAACAACCTGACAATCTCTGTAGGATGGAGAAAACCAGCGCTACAATGTATATGAAAGCTTCGGACTCGGAAGCTGATAAAACACCAACGGTAGAAAGCTGACACGGAAGAACACTGAGGAGAACGGAGATGGTTACAATACATTGGGGTACAAGAAACTGTGCACACCCCTTACACTTTTTAGGTCTCAGACTGCATCACTTATGGAGCACTTTTACGTCTTTTGGTCGATCTTATCTTTGGTACTAATTATATAGAGATTGACCGTTCGGGTGTATTTATTGTCAAAAGGGAATCGAGAAACTTCAATATCCTTATTATTTTCACATGACTAATGGGGGTTTTGATTCAATTTCAAAGAGGAATTCGTTGGGCGCATAGCAAATGAAGCGTGAGCTGAAAACCAGGAAGCGCTACAGACAGCAGTTTTGATCTAGTTGGGTCTCATCAGCAGTGCAAAGCCATCAACCCCACTGGGCATAGAACTCGGGACCTCACAGGTAAAACGCAAGCATACTGCCCACACAGCCCCCAGGAGGCTGATCAGACCGTTTATAATTTTCCCTTTATGCTATATAGAAACAAAGCATCTTTGCGAGATTTTGCAGGCCACAGACCTCGCTCATCACAGCACAAGCCTCGGATTTATCAACAACTTGGCCGATTTTCTTTTCTTTCTAAATTATGGCCACGCAAAGTTGAATTCCACGATATTACCAGGTTGCATTCCCCGAACACTTGTACTACACGTTGGTACCGTGGCTTAAATGATTGTTGTTAGTGTAAAATAACACGAAGGTTTAAAAATTAGCGATAGAGTCAACCATAAACTGTCGTATGAAGTGCATATATCACAACTATACCTTTTCAACTTCAAGCGAATCCAATCAATCGCATTCCTTTGGGAACCCCACAAGATGATTGTTATTTCCGCTGTCAGACGTCACCAATTGGGCCGGGTCTGTCTAAACCCCGTCTAGTCCGAATAAACTCACTTCTCCAAAAACAAGGAAAAGTACTTTTTGAGTGCGTTGCCCAGTGAGACGAAAACAAGATCGCTAATCACAACGGACAATACGACAGAACAACACAAAGAAGGAGAACAAGAAAGGATGAAAGTTTCAGTGGGGTGGGCTGTTCTCCTCCGCCTCCCGCCCTGGAACATTATGTCCGTGATCGTTGATCGGGTGTACGTCATAAATGAACGAACCCGGCGTAATTGACCTCCGTCGGTCGGGTAGGGAAGCGAATCACGTCAAGATGAATCAATGAATCGGTCACCATGCTCAGGCGTTAATGTAATCATGTTTCATTGCACGAATGGATTCAGTATAGGTCCTCAATACCCTAGTGAGAAAATTACAGTGTGACCTTGCTTCCCTCGAACAACACCGATCCTTTTGAATCCAGTGTGATTGCCTACCTATTTCTGACATTGAAAGTACCGCTTGATAAGAGACTTAGCATGCATAAGATGATGAGGGTGACTGTTGCAGCTAACTTTTCCATCCGAAAAGCTCGCTACATAGATCAAAGATGACTCCTCCTTCGTCCGCAATGAGAATAAATCCAACTGTTGGTGATTAATATGACTAAACTGGAATAAAACCCAGTGGTTGAGAGTTTGTACCATTTGCATCCCAACGAAATGTAAATGTCGTCCTGCACAACCTAGCCTGCGGATTTTACATGATCGTTTCATTTTAGCAATGCGTGGACTGCCTGCCTTGTTTAGACTTTAATCGTCACGTGCATTGGAACGCACTGCCTATCGAGAGGCTGCTTCGGCATGAAATCATCCACAAACGTAAAGTAGAAAACCAGCCTACTGTTATTGTAAATGTACACTAAATTCTACGAAATTTCTCAAAATCCCGGCATATTGATTTTAACAATGATAAAAATTTCTCGTTTATATCTCCCATTTACAAAAAGCATTCAGTGAGTAAAACAAATAAGTAACCATTGAATGTGTTAAAAATGAAGTATTTTATATCTGTCGAGTAATCTACAAGAACGTGATTAGATGCATACTCACAATGATCCCCAAGGATTAGTGATTAATCGCCACCAGCAAAGTATTCCGGATATGTTCTTCACCAATCCTTTTGGTTCATTCCTCCTTCAGGATCACTGACCATCATCTTGGCATGTTGATTTCGGGGCTCCATTTTGATGCAACATTTCGTAATGCTTCATATCATTTCAACCAGGAACAAAGGGTAATATGGAGCAAATTTGAGAATGCTCACTCTTCATCCTGCAACCGTTTTCCAGTTCAGAGTTATAGGGTGCGTATTCACACATATTCGCGTAGGATTTGTGTTCTTCTTCCAACAGTTGATCAATGAGTGTTTGCAACTGTTGCGTACGCAACACAGAGATGTGGGATCCTCCTTTCAGAATGTAGTTCAAAACCCATCAGCATTCACAGAACCTACTATGATGTGTAGATTTCTTGCTCTTGATCTGGTCACTGGTATTGGACAACGTTGACCTCTTAGTGAACACCAAACTTTTCTTGAGTAGTGTAGATTGAAGTTGGTTCCATCAATCCATATAATCTCATTATATGGGTTGATGAAACCAACTTCCGAGCGAGATAGGGTACCAAAGAGTTTCTGTAGGCGGGTATGCGCGACGGGATAAGCTTGTACTTGGAACGGGTGGAGGGATGGGATTTGCATGTACACAAGTCAGTGTGTAGAGGATGGGTGTAATCAGATAGGATATTGTCAGCAAACGTCAAGCACACGTCAATATGGACGTTACACATATTGCCAATCAGAACAGTTAACGGACTTTGCGAGACATGGTTGATCATTGAGAGGCCAAGCCTCAGCAACTTGAAATCAGCCTTCAAAAAATTAGGGAAAATTTAAGGACAGCAGTACAGGGGTATAGGGAGGACACATTGTTGGAGGAAAGCGTTTATCACCGACGAGTCAGAACAAAAGTAGCGCAGTCTTCTTATCTGAAAAGAGAAACTTTTAAACTTGCGAGCAACACTTTGGGTATGTAATGACTAGCAAAAGTTACTTTCAAGTGTGACACCTAAGTACTTCACATGGCTGACATTGTTCATCGGCTTTCCATGAATCTGGACATTATCAGAGGGAGACAGGGTACGGTTTAGAGTAAAAATAAACTCAAGGCATTTTTCAGGATTAAGATTAAGACCGGATGAAGTGGAATATGAAACGAGGTGAGATGGGTTTATGTTATATTCAACAAGCTCTGATTGGTTAGATATGGAAACAGAAATGGCAATAACATCAGCATACCTAAAATGTTGAACAGGTAGAGTAACAGGTAAGTCACTGGTATAAGTCGAATAAAGGTAGGGTGATAGTACAGCATCGTGAAGTACACCCGAGCTATTGAGGGATGCGGTTGGCTGACTTCTTCCCATTTTAGCATACTGATATCTTTGTGAAAAGTAATCAAAAGTAATCCAACTATGCTACGTCGCACCCCTCAATATGTAGCAGTTCCTGATACCTACTCACTTGGTCGTTGACCGATGTTTGGGACGACCTTTGACCATTCACCCTGAAACGTCGCAATTAACCAATGGCGTTGCACCTAATGTGACGCATTCAAAGCACTGTTCACTGACTGGATAATCATTACGAGGAAGTCACACCGATGTAAGTGACCGAAAACAGTGTTATTTAAAGTCAAAATTGCAAGCTCCTATCGATCAGAGAGAAGCAGAATGTGCTGGAAATGCTGAAACACCCAGGTGCAGCTCAGAGCTCCGTAGCCAAATCTCATGGAATTTCGCGAAAAACTGTGTACAATGTTGTATCCCATCGAACGACCATCGAGGAATTTTTGAACGCTGGAGCATTTAAGGAAAGATGCCACCTGAAAATCAACAAAAAGCTCAGGGCAGTGAATGAGGTATCTTTGGCTTGGTTTACTGCTGAGGGAAGAGCACAGAGAGTTCCCAATGGTCATCACTGTTAGTGATTGAAAAGTTTCAAACTCCACATTGCCTCTGAGGTATAGATAGAAAAAGTCTTCCATGCAGATATAATTTTGCAAAGAGCGCATGGATAACTTCTGCATTATTTCACAGTCGGCTCTCCGATGCCAACCGCACAGTGGTTTCTCAAAGGCTCTCTATTTTACTGTTTATGGACAACGCCCCCTGCCATAACCAAGCCGCAGCATTCTCCAATATGAAGTTGGTACGGTTGCCTCCGAACTGTTCTTCAATGTTACAACCAATGGATCAGGGTGTGATTTAGTCTTTCAAATGTTCGTTTCGGAAACATTTACTGGAATATGTTTTGTCTTTGCTTGAAGATGAGCAACGTATCATGAAAGTCACGGCAGACATTCTCATGGCCATTCGACTGGTCAAGAAAGCTTGGGTGTCTGTGCACCCTCAAGTATTGATCAACGCTTTCATGAAAGCTGGGTTCAAATCCACATTGATTCAGCCGGTGATGCAGCCACCAGAGGATAAATGCGATTTGATCAAAGACTTTAGTCATTAGGTATCTATTGATGACCGTCTTTGTGAAAAAGAAATCGTCTGTTTGGAATTTGATGAGGAAGTGGGTTATTTAACATTTTTGTATCAAGTTTCTTTTTAGTCATTAGATGAATTCGTTTTGAATCAACCTAAACATCGCAAAGAAGATGACGAATGTGAGGTATTGAATGCGCTCGAAGTTATCTCAATCAGAGAGGTGCAGAGGTTATTGGATCAATTGACGCTGTTTGTCTTGGCTAATGCTCGGAGTTCAGGTCGATTATTGGAGTGTACAATTGATTTAAACAGCACCTTTGGTGATTTCCAACGGAGAGCCAAGCTGAGACAAACGATGATTTATGATTTTGCTAAAAAAATCTTTGTAATCTGCAGTTCTTTTTTGCAATTCTGTGGGGCACTGAACTGAACTGTTGGGCACTCGAATGTGGTCATTTTGGCTACAGTGATCACCAAAGCCACGGTCATTCGGTCTGTTCTGTCACATTATCGTGCGAACGGGTGAACGACAATCGCGATTGACTGGTAAACGGGTGAGTGGAGTGAGATGTTAGATCCGAGCAATTGATGACCACCGACGCACGGACGAGCCTGTGCGAATTAATGAACCATACTCTTACTTGTCCTAGAGCACCGATGAAATTAGACAGGTCACTTGCCAAAGGTGATCGTAACCCGGGCTTAAGGACAGTTTGTGAGATGCACTTTTAGTTTATAAGGCGTAATTGCTTGAGAGTTGCGTAATTNGCTTGAGAGTTGCGTAATTCCTGCAAGCTGTCTATGGCCTTCAGTTGGCTGAACAGGAGTGAATTTCTTCCAAGTAAACACCCGTCTCACGCCTGCCGGAAACTCTGCGCAAAAAACCGCTTAAAAAATAGTGTGTGTATCTTAGACGAATCAGACGTTGGCCCAGTGTCATTAGCGCTTGAACTTTCGTTCCACAACTGATTCTCTTGTGGTGATTCTATACCAACACTTAAGCAGCATCAGATTCGGGACGTTTCCTCCTCCTGTGCCGGCTCACAAGTCACACAACCGATCGGGTTCATTTATCGATCAATCGAATGGTTCAGCCGCAACACGAGACCTGGTGTTTGCCCATCTAACCCGAGACATAAACCACACCGCGAGTCTTTAGCAGGACCAGTGAACTTCGGCTGTACAGCAGGCGTACCTTCACCACACGGATGGAGTGGACATGATAACAAGATGATCAAAAGACAATGTGAAGAGCCGG